TTATATATGGAGTTCTGATTATACAGTAGGGTGTGTTATTCGGAGTTTAGAAATGTAATTTTTACAAAGAAATTCTTGTTAATCTCACAATCTCAGCAAAGACATGAGAATAATTCTCGTAAAACAACGTGTTTTAGCTCCGTTTGTCAGATACAGAAAGATATTTATAAACAAGAAATGTGAAGTCGCCATCTAAAAAAAAACCACATCAACTGGCTTTTTGTGCTCGTTAGCCTCAAGATGGTGCCATCGGATAAGAGAAGTACTCCGGAAAGATACTTTACATACCTCTATCTGCCTATGTCTCAAAGAAAGTTGATGCCAAAGCTGTTTAAAATAAACGTCGCTCCTGAGCCGACGCCATCTTTGTCGTTTTTCTCCATCGCAGCTCTGGTGCTAAGCCCTCCCAATGTCTCTCGACAAGTGTAGAGCGCTGTGATTGGCTGGAGCGTAAACTGTTCAGGCCAATGGTAGACCTGCTGAGAATACAACGGAGCACGGCTAGACCGACCTGCAAAGCAAAATCTTTTGCTCCTGCTTTGGTTGGTCTAGATTTCTAGGCTAAGGATTGTTAGCACATGAGTATTATGTATGCGCCATTGCGTTTTTGGATTTATGCTTCTCTGACCAGAAAAGCTTTTCAGTGACTAATATTTTTAGTAACAGAAATAACATTTAAGGTCTGAGTTAGGTTCAGGCATTCTTTCTGTTTAAGTGAAAATATTTGAAAATGAGAATTTGGTCCACTGTGCCAACGCCGTCCTCACAGCATGAAGGCCTCAATCCACGAGTGGAATATTTTTGAGACGGCACAACTTGTTTGTGTTTGTCTTTCTGAGTCAAAGTCGAAGTGGCCGGTGCCAGAGATGGCCGCCAGCTGGCACATTGGCAGCAGTTAAATGAGGCAGTGCCAAGTCCTGGCCTCTGTCTCGGTCTCTCGTGTCTGATCACATCCTCCCGCTCTCCAGACTCCCCACAGTCGAGTCATATCGCAGTTTTTGCTCCTCTGGACTGTCTGACTTTCAGCCACTTTGCAAAAGCTTCTTATAGCTCTTACACGGGTAATTATGTGAAATGGCATGGCAACATTTTACAAAGGATGTGCAACTATTTATACTCAGATATCCACTTCATTGCAATGGAAAAAATAAGCTGAGTTTGGACTCTGCCCCAGTTCTAATGGGGGAAACTTTCTAGACACATCTTTACATTTATTAGTAATTTTTTTCTTCTACTTTCACATGAAGCCATAAATTAGCATAAATAAGCAGAAAACAACTTGGGTAGAAAGCTACAGTAGCTGCTTTCAAAATCAAGCCAAGAAGGAGTTCGTGACAGCTGGTTTCTCGTTGATAAACAGGAGCTTAAGAAGAACTCTTTGGTCTGTTAGTCTTTTAATCAGAGGATTTCCCAAAAAATAACCAGGATTATTGTCTATTTTGCAGCCATTTTGAGTCCCAGTCAACATCTGAGATGATAAAGAAAGCATGTCAATACTCTGCCTTAGAGTTTGGCAAATTAAATAAAAAATGCTGACTTGCGATATTGTTTTTTATAAAAATTGTACACTTTAGGTCCCTGAGATGGAGTGGGAGGGAGCTTTAGCTTCCTGTGCTGCGGGGGGTCCCAGGCCAATCAGCTCCTCTAATTTTAGTAAAAGCGCCAATTTCTGCAACATGACCGCTTCCTAGGAAGTTTCTGACATTTCAGAGAACACACCGAAGCAATCTGAAGAAAGAAAAGTTTCTATGTGTGACAAAGCAAACTTTCGTTGCCTAAACTCGACATTAGTAAGAAGCTGTTTGAAAAGACTAGATCTGTTGTTTCATTAGCGTATATGTATGACATGTTTCTGTCACGATGTTTTTCATGCTTAATGAAATGTAAACATGTTTCTGTCTGACTCATTTCTTAAAGGGCCATTATGGAAGTTTGACAGCCAAAACATGTATAGAAATAATAAATGTCTTCTTCAAACATTCTCCTGCAATGCCCTGGTCGCATTTTTACTGTGATTGCCTGTTTTTCTGTAAAATCACAGAAAAAGAGAGATGCTCGGGTCGAGCAGGCTGCTTCATGCGTGTTCACGCTCAGGAATAGCCCTCCGAACCGTTCTTTGAACGTTGTTTCAGCTGTCATCAAGGATATCCATGTTAAAGATACAAATGTCATCACTGCCGCTTTAGCTCATCTAGTTAGACGTCGGACGTTCGTGCAGAAGATCTGGGTTCAATTCTAGATGTGAATGTAGTTTTTTAGAATTTCTTTTTTACATTAATGGTATATTTTTTTACAGTAAGATGCTCAAATTTTTATTTGAGACTCGCCGAACGGCATTGGATTCACAGATAAAAAAGATGTGGGTTCAACTTTCATTTTGGAACAATTTTTCAAGCAAGGGAAGGGAATGATCTGAGCATGCAGGAGGACTGACCCATCTTAAACCTTTGTCGGCTGTGCTGAAGAGAAAGGTACAGAACCAAATTATTTAATTAATTAGCTGCGCGTTCTCCTGTCCTCTGTCCTCCGGGCCCCACACACGCACACACACACACACACACACACACACACTCACACACACACACACACACACACACACGCACACGCACACGCACACGCACTCACACTCACAAGGGACTGTCTCAGCTGTTATTTTCGTTAAGGAGTGTGCACGTACAGCATGCACGGCTCGTGCACGAGCCTACTATTGAAGCTGCCGTTACGCTTTTGGCCTGAGGGGGCAATCGCGAGCATAAAAATTCAAAACTCTGTAAAGTCCCTTTAAGGGGGCACGAGGCATTTAGCACCCCTTAGTGTCCATTTGAAGCTGAAATGTCTCACCAGCCTTCTTTAGTGTCTAAAGGAGCAGTTTATCACCAAATCACACAAATCAGCTGCGATGCTGATCTACAGTGCAGTTATCTCAGCTCAATGTTTTTCCAAGTCCCAACAGAGCGGCCTGCCAGACCAAAGTGGAATATTCTGGCCAGTGGTTTGACGGGCTGGGTGGCCTTTCATTAATCCTATATAGGGTCATTTTAGCATGTACTGGCTCAAGAAAATGATTTAAAAATATGGAAAAGTTCTAAAGTTTCCCTTTAAATCTTTTTTATTTAGTCAAATTATTGAAATACTAGGAGTTGGAATAAATGCCTATTTCTTCATGGCTTTCTTAAACAACTACTAAAGTAATTGTTTCCATTTTTGGTCAAATCCGCCAAGTAACAACAGATAGTTTTTTTTAAACTCAAAGCAAGGTTTTAACATTGATCTAAATTATTTTTGGGTTGGAAACTTGACCAGTTTCATATTTGACACCTGTCTGCAGCACCTGCTTACCAAAACCTGCACTTGATAGTTTTGTGGAGGATGTGGGTGTTCTAGGGGCGTTCGCTTTACCTGCTTTAAAACTGGTAGCTCCTATGCTAGCGGTTAGCCTTCTCATTTTGCCAATCTTAAATAAAAGACAGAAGAAGAAAAAGAAATTTGCTTTTTCTGTTAGCATCATGGTGGAGCCTGGAAGTAAAAGTAAGAGAGTAATGTCTTTTGAAGGTGAAACAAGAGTTAAAACCAGAGTGAACATCAGCACAGCCTACACTAGTTTGAAGAAGCTAAAGGAGGAAACAAAATCACAGACTGATGATGGCCTAGCTTTGTTGCTACTTGACTCGTAAGTAATAGTTGTTGTCCAGTAGTGTGGACCCTTTTGTTTTGTAGTTTTAGTATTAGTTGGCTCATGTTAGTGTTAGCCCATTGTTAGCACTAGGTTGTTTACATTAGTTGTAATTCCACTTTCAACCTGTAGGATGGAGGAGCGGGAAACTGCTCTGTGTTGCTTTAAAGAGCGGGTCAATTGAGCCTCGGAGTCCTTCTCCACCCACGTATCAATTTTAAAAAATGCAACATTAGTAGGCGTTGCCTGGAGGACCGAGTGGGCGGAGCCGCGGCAGTGACGAAGACGATGGCTAACTAGACGAAGCTAGCTCCCTTCACTCTGAGCGGTCATTAGAAGTGGAGGACGTTTCTCCCCCTCTTTACACAGACACTCGAGAAGAAAGGGACCAAGTCTATTTGGAGGAGACAAGCGGACCTGAGTCTTATTGTTTTGAGCTTGTGAGTTGCCTGAAACTCCCAGAACCGACCCAACAGAATCACCTCTGAAAGGTAAGTAGCCGTTAGCCATAGCATTGGATTAGCTGCAGGGTTTGTCTCCACAGCCCTAAAAAGCTAGTATTCAGCATGTTTTAGAGGTTTATCTGCTTCAGCACACCTGGTTTTAATCAGCAACAAATAGCTGAGCTGCTTAACAGCTAATCTAACCTGTTAAAGCAGGAAAATCCACTGAAACATGCTGGATAGCAGCTCTCCGGTAGCTCTGGGCTCAAGTTACAGTCTGCTGCATATAAAGTTATGAAAATACCCCATGAGAAAATTATTCTGTAATGTGTTCAGCCCACTAAAACTGCCCTGATTTCTTTATTTATTTACTAATAACAGCTGCTCTCTCGGTTCTAGGTCCTCTGGTGTCTGCAGCTGGCCTCTGGTGTCTGCAGGTGGTCTCCTCTGCTGGTGCCATCAGGATCAGGAGCTTCCAGAAGAATGTGCCTTTCAATGACTCTTTCCCCCTTATTTGTTATATTAATTAAATAAATCTCAATTTATATATTTCCTGTTTTTGTTCATGTCCATAAATACTTAAACATGCTTGAAATTAAAACGAGCTTTTAACAGCGAGGTGCTAGTTTAATTAATCACAATAGCTAGTTAAACATGCAACAAAAATGTGATAATCAATGTAATTTATAAATATCCATTAAAATATCAAAACTGGAATCTAAATGAGATATTTGGCAGCACAAAAAACTTGTCAAACACAATATTTATTATAATAATTGTAGGCAGACAGGAGACAGAGCTGATGGAGGTTCTCAGTCATCAAAGGATGGCTGAAGGCTTTCCAGGAACAGGAGATGTGGTGTGGTCTCTTCTCTCTCTATTCAGCAGGATGAGCTGATAGGTTACAGGTGTGTGAGGACATCCTCATGCTGTCATAACCAGATGACAGGAGTTATCAGGTGATCAGCCAGGCTAATGAGATGCAGAAAGAAAACAAATTCAGGACAGTGTACAATATGTGGTGTTGCTCACCTTATGTGCTCTTATAGAATATTAATGTGTGCATGCCTCATGGTGTAGAGTCCATATTTTGCTGAGTGGCCTGCAATAATGCAGGTTATTAGTTAATTTACTTTTGATAGCAAAAACAAAATATTTAATGTAAAAGTTGTTTTCCAGGTGAATCAGCTCACACGTCACCACCAAGTGTCACAGGGGCAGAATCAGTAGCCCCCGTCATGATGTAATCACATACTTATTTGTTAATATCTTAAAAAATCTGAAATGTTTTAATTTTTATTTATTACCTTGAACAGTTCACTGAGCTTGCACTGTCACTGAGGTGGAAGCTGGAATCAACAGCAGACACCTTACATCTAGGTCTTTTCAGGGGGTCTGGACGCTCTGGGACTTTCTGGAAGATGAATTTTCATCATGGTCCCTGTGGGTCACCAGACACACTGCGGCTGTGAACTCCATTCTGACTGGCTATGTAAAAACAAAGAAGCAGCACATTTATAAATGTTTAAAAGAGCATAAAATCACGTATAACAATAATCTGTAAAACAAATTAAAACTAGAAGGTGATAATAAAATGTTTACATAGAAGATTATTAAAAATAATTCACCTTTGCTACAGGGAAGGTTTCACATCAGCCTGGAAAAGTACATTCATGCAGCTAAATCAGTCTGACAGCCAGTGTCTTGGGTAGATTTAGCCTGAAAAAAAATAGAAGCACATTGTTGTTGGAGTTTATAAAGTCAGATAATATACAAAAGAATCTCCTATATAGGCGCTTTATAACATTCCTAGTGTGTGATCGTTGTTATAACGTAAAAGTCAGTCACACATGATGTGGAGAGCCTGAAATGTGACCTCCTGAACAGAATTCCTCACAGAACCGGGTCACCAGCTGGATTTCACGCTGTAATGCTGTCTGTCAACTAGTGCAGCGTTAGTTAGAGACACTGTTGCAGAATTGCCAACTGACTAGCTAAAGGAAATGAACCACGTCTCTCAGACTTTGCATTTAGGTAGGGAATTGTCTTTAGAAGATGTTAAAACGTTTATTTAGCTTACTCACCTCAGACTGGAGCCCGCCGTGGTGGGGGAGCAGAGTCGGTGGGCTGCATCTAAATCGCGGAAGAGCCACGGTGGGCAGCCTCCCTCTTCAAACGGAGACGTGCAGAATCGCGGGTAAAATGCCCACAGAGTCACCGCAAGCATACTACATTACACCATCTCACCAATACTAAGACGATATGAACACTAAAACCGAAATACTTTCCCAATTACGCTAACAGCCAAACACTAACTAAACTACAATATCCAACAGCCAAGCTAACACTAAATAAGTATTTATAACACTAAAAGATATGCTAAAGACTAGGATATGCTAATGCTATATGCTAATGCTGAACTACCGCTGCCCTCCTAAGCTCGCTTGCAAATCCAACTCCCACGCGCCACAGGGCGTGGCCGAGACGCCCGTTGCTTTTATAACTTTGGCACGGAGCTGCTACGTAGTACTCTACTGGTTTACGTAGTACTTTACTCTTTAGCCATTGGCTAAAATTTATTCAAAATGACTCAAATTCTATGTTTTCAGCTGAAGGTGGCGCATTACTGTGGTTTTTAGACAGAATTTTTAATTTTTAAAGAAAATGAACCAAAATGCTAAAATAAAGAATGCACACATTTAAAACACAATTAGACACTCATTTATACAGTTCATCAGCAAAAAAAAGTTAATTTAGACGTTACTTGCTCTTTAAGTGTATCACGTATTTAAATTAAATACAGCTTAATGTCTGTGAAACCTCAGTTTGCCAAGATTCTTTAATTGTGCAATCACCAGTTGTAAAATGGAATCAAGACGACGTGGATTTTAGCTATGAGTGCAGCAACTATGCGGTCAATATTCAGTTTTCCAGCTTCTAATTGTTCCCGGCTGCAACAAAACGGCACAATCTGCTGCATCAGTAGAATTACTTTTGACAAACCCGCTCTCTGAAACTTACAGTCTGGGTAGGGAAATCTAGGTTTGTTTTAGCATCATTGGTAAATTGAGCCAAATGTTTCCAGTAGAAAGGATTTCCTCAGCAGAGCCAAGCTGCCTCGAGGGAAATATATCAACATTTCTGCGGTGCTGTTGCAGAAATGACGACGCAGCCATGGGTGTCCGTGCGTCGTCTCGCGTTTCTGTTGTTTCCTCCATCCTGAGACGGAGACATCTATGTGAGATCTATCACTGACAAACTCATGCAAACACAAATGAATGCTGCCCGTTCCGGATGAGTTTGAGTAAGAGGGCGTTGCATACTTTTCAGTTCATAGTGTGGATTTATTACAGAAGAATATTGTCTCCTGGAGTTGAGGGATCATTTAGAAACTTGTTCCTAGAGTGTTTTACGATGGAAAATGACCGAGTTGGATTAAGGCGGGAATATTTAGTTAGTTTTTGCAGATAATGGTGACTTTCACCTGAGCAGGGATGCCAGGCAGAATTGAGAGACTTCACCCCGTCAGGTTCATCTAACACTGAATCACTTGGACTAATAATGAAGATAGATGCATGGTTGTGGTGCGGTGAAAGACAAAAAGAGAAACAATAGTTCAAATAAATCAACATAAGTCTTTATGGCTTGGTGAAGTCACAAATAGCCTGTCAGGAGGGTGAGCGGTGCAGTTGGCCTTTTATTGCTTTCAGTGGCGTTATGGTGCCTTTGCGTCTCTGTCCCGCTCCACAATAAATGAAGAGCGGCTTGCTAACTCCGGCCACGTTTACCTTTGAGGCTTGTGTGACTGAAATGCCTCTTTCATCTAAGAGGGATACGTCTGTCTCTGCTCACAGAGACAAGATGGAGACTGGTGCCATTTGCTTGTGCACCATAACACCCCTCCGATTGTGTACACCCCCTCCTAATAGCTGGAGTAATGTGGGGAGAATGCAATCAAGGGGGGGGGGGGGGGGGGGGGGGTATAGATCTGCAGACAAGGAAACAATGGGACAGATGACTGACAGCATCCTCGCCTGAAGAGCCTTTTCAGACTCCTCGTCTCCATCTTCTGCCCCCCCCCCCCCCCCCCCCCCCCCCCCCCAAATAAAGTCAACCTCCTCTTTTAGACACCCCATCAACTTATTCTGCTTCCTGTAAGAAGTAAATGCAAAATAAAGTTTTACATAACGTAGAGCTGGTGAGGTAGCTAAACTCAAGTTGAAGAAACACGCAGATCTCTCTGTTTGGAGTTTGGAAGTCTTTGACCAAATCTACACATATTTTAAATTTTTCTTGATTTCTTTTACTTTTCTGCTGTAATCTGTGGTTTTAATCAGTATATTTTCAAACATTCCAAAGATCTATCAAACAACTTTTTATAGACTTCACTTGCGTGCTTCGCAGTGCGCTGAGCCACACCAGGGGGTCTTAGCCGTGGGTCTCCGCTGTCCTTGCAAAACCCCAAAATCCCTCAACACTTCAAAGGTCTCGTTTTATTTTTGCCGTTGGCCATCAAACAATGAAGGAGACTAAGAAAATCACAATAAACATTGCTGTTTGATGTCTTATATAATGTTGTTCCTCTCCACTGCCGGGAGCACCACCTCACCCCTGCCACATGGACCTCAAGGGATAAACCATGAACCCTGCTCAATGGTCAGCTTTCCTGGCGGGTCACCCATGAGGACAGTGGGAGGGTTAAGTTGGTACAGCTTCTTAAAGAGATATGAACATTGCCAACCTACACACATCTTTAAATATTTTTATTATCAAATTTATTGACGTGGGAATAATAATCTCGATAAAAGTCAGAAATTTCGATAACGATAAATTTTTGATTTGATGCCCAGCCCTCATTCAATTCAAATTCAAAGATACTTTATTAATCCCAGAGGGAAATTAGAGTTTCAGTACACACAATTCTGAGATCAGACATACATTCATACATAGGCAAAGACACATGACAAGAATTGGTGACTGTGATTATTTGCAGCCCCGAGTCGCGCTACCTTAATAGAGATCAGAGGGTTACATGAGGATTGGTTCAAGTGGAGGAAAAAAAGGCACTTCAGAGTTACCCTCCACAGGGAGGGCAGCTTTGCTCTGCAAATAAACACCTCAGACAGAAATGCAACAGACTTCAGACATTACACAACATAAGTGTCCACTAGGTGGGGTGGTAGGGTTTTGGACTCAGTGAATGCAGCCGCGATAAGCAGCGCTCGTCACCTCAGTCTGGACAGGGGAGGAGGTCGTTGCGTTTAGAGGGCACAGTGACTCCTGGAACGATTCAGCGGCCTTCACAGCTCATAGTCCTGCCCAGGCATGGATAGGGAGACAGAGTTGCCATGGCGACAGCAGCATTCCACATTTCTTCTGTGGGTGGGTGGGGGTTAGGGGTGTATTCGTTTTGGCCTCACAGGCTCAAGGGCACCAGATTCAGATAAGAACTTGTTTTGGGGCCAGACAGAGATAATTTCCTCTCTGTCTTAAAGTTCCGCTGGTCCTCAACCTCTCAAAATCCAATAATGGCGTAAATTAATCTATCCCAATCCATGCTGATTCGTCCACTTGCTACTTGATCGCATCCATCTTTTGTGTCAATGCATGAATCTCAGCCAAAGTTCCAAGCTTATGACTCATCTCGACAAATATGAGTCTGTGAATTCACAGCGCGGTGCAATCCATCCCTGAGCTCTGGGAAAGAGCCAATATTCCTTGACAGCTTGTTAATTTTCCGGTAAGCCAGGTAACCTCCCGGGCCAAAAAGCAGGAAACCTGACACCAATACCACAACTATCCAGACGTCTTCAGAATCCTCTACAGACAGTCGAGAGAGGCAGATCAGATTCCACTGTTTCCAGGAGTCCATGATATGCCCAACTGGATCTGTCCCAGGGGGGCACCCGGGAGCCCCTTCTCCCGTTCTCATCGTTGAGAAAATTGTGTCAATCGCATTGAGATACCAGCTGCCCAGGTCCATTTTTAATAATTTTCAGTTTCCAGAAAAAATATAGAAGCGCCATACACCCAAAGACAGACAAAGAGCCTTGGGGTAAGATAAGGAGGAGAGGAGGAAAAAAACGTCTGTACTCTCCAAGAGCCAGAAGGAAAGAGTATCTACGTTTCCATTTTTCAGGGTACATTTGACCCATTGGGTATAAAATCACTTGAATCTTCATCAAGTTTTAATTCATTTTACTTTATTATACTCACATAAGCACTTTCTCGCTGACTGTCTGCCACATGAATACACTTAGTTTCCATTTCACTGAAAAAGACCAACAACAACAGTTTTGACGGACAGAAAATACACTGAAAGAAATAACACGCTGAGTAGTGTTGTTAGAAGTTGAAGTAAATGTATTTGTCTTTACTGGGTTTAGTCAGTTGACTTGGTGAGGTTTTATTCTTGGAGTGTCGTATTTGAGCACCAACAAGGTCATTCACAGCTTCAAACTTGGTTACCTAAACATGTAATTTCTAAAATAATCACTTCTGAACCATAAACTCCTGAGTAAAGTTTTCTTTCTCGTTGAGTCCTTCTCTTCGTAGGCGGTCCTTGTTCTGGTGCCGAGGCAGAGCAGATGCAGGGACTCGCATCAGCAGATTGATTCTGACATTGCTGAGGGAAATTACATTTCCCCTCCTGGTTCCCCCGTCATTTACCTTGAGTCGCTGTATGACAAGCCCTTACATTATTAAACACGGTACACATGCTCCTCCATCTGTCACAGTCCTGACCTCTCCTGCCTGCACTACCTGATTGGCCCGAGGTGTCATCAGTCATTAGCTCGTGAGTCGGCCCAACGTTCAGATCGATAACCAGACGGAGGCGTGATTCTCACCTTGGGCTCATCCTTCCTTTTCCAACCAAACTTTATGGTGAGTGGAAGGAGGAGTTCCATTTTAAAACAACAGA